GCACACCAGCTCTAGACCTCTAACTTTCAACTCTAGACCTCTAACATTCATCTCTATACAATATAGCAATATTTTGACAGGTGCTAGATTTCTAACCTTCAACTCGACACAGTACATCACCAACTTATCGATCAACTGAAGACTCCACTATGTTCCAATCACCCTCTACACCTCCACCCGTCAATTGTCCTCCCCTATCACCCCGAGAAAAGTCACCGACTCAGCTCCCAGACCGAGGAAGTCTTCACAGCGGAGAAGTCGTATCCGAAGGACCTGGAACACGATAATGGATCGTGTCCGGGTTCCCCGATGATCGATCAGGGCCAATTTTCGGTCCGTTCATCCTTCCGGTGGCCGGCTGATCGATTTCCCCCGATCCTCGATAAAAGGCAGAAAGGCTCTCCAAGTCACTTACCCGTCACGATCACCCGATGATAATCGATCAGCCCGCGAGATCTTGGTTAATTGGGTCCTGATCTGCGCTTTAGTGCGGCCAACACTGATGATGGCCCCGGCCACTCGACGATCAAGTGCCTACCGAATGATTTATCAATCCGCCCGGGCACGGCCGATGATCAAGGTCATCGATGACGCAACGGTGCCGAGGGCTCCCTTCTCCCCTCCCTTGTTCCTCTGCGATCGCCCAATCCAGATACAGGCACGATGACACGGAAAAGGACGGAACTGCCGCGGCGTTTAGGGGAAACGAGCGTCGATAATCCTTATCGGACGACTCAGGTTTGTTTGCGCTAACGCTTCGTCATTAAGGGGAGCATCCTACTTCGCGTTTTCTGTATAGGTTACGTTTTCGCTGGGATTTCGAGTGAAATTATTAGTCGAGCTGTTTTTCAGCTGTTCATTTTAAGAGAATTTTTTTCACGAAGGGTTCGAAGAGATTCTACGCGGATGGGTATTTCAGAATCTGGTTTTTCAAGGTGTTCTAGGACACGCGGGTCTTTTTTTAAACACTTGCGTTATTGCTACATCATTTTTAAACGAACAAAGTCAAATTGGCATTTGCGGCACGCGTATGGTGTTTTTTATAGCACTTTGTGGTAAGCGTATGGTAGTATCTGTTGTATGGCAATTTCTTGACCTGCTCTATGTGCTATAAACGTGCTATAAACGTTTTGAAGACGTTCTCTATGTGCTATAAACGTGCTCTAGGCGAGCTGTATGTGCTATGAACGTGCTATATTGCTATAATCGTTTTGAAAACGTACTCTAGACGGACTGTATGTGGTATAAACGTGCTCTAGGCGGGCTGTACGTGCTATAAACGTGCTCTAGGCGAGCTGTACGTGCTATAAACGTGCTCTAGGCGGGCTGTATGTGCTATAAAAGTGCTCTATTGCTATAATCGTTTTGAAAACGTACTCTAGACGGCCTATGTGTGCTATAAACGTGCTCTAGGCGAGCTTTATGTGCTATAAACGTGCTCTAGGCGAGCTTTATGTGCTATAAACGTGCTCTAGGCGCGCTGTACGTGTTATAAGTGTGTTCTAGGCGGGCTGTATGTGCTATAAATGTGTTCTAGGTGGAATGTATGTGCTATAAACGTGCTATATTGCTATAATCGTTTTGAAAACGTACTCTAGACGGACTGTGTGTGCTATAAACGTGTTCTAGGCGGGTTGTATGTGCTATAAACGTGGTCTAGGCGGGCTGTATGTGCTATAAACGTGCTCTATTTGCTATTAACGTGCTATAAACGTGGTCTATTTGCTATTGACGTGCTATAAACGTGGTCTATTTGCTATTGACGTGCTATAAACGTGGTCTATTTGCTATTAACGTGCTATAAACGTGCTCGATTTGCTATAAACGTGTAAATATAGCTTCAAGAGCCCTAAACTGAAGCATGGCCCCCCTCGAAGTCTGAAATAATTTTTAGCAGACCAATAAATGACCATCAGAATTCATCCTGACTACAGAGAAAAATATCTTGAGAGAAACAATCGAAGCAGAGTAGAGCAAAGGGAATATAAGATGTATATCCAAACTCCAGTTCGTATTTCAATATATACAATATCGAGTATCCACGTGCTCTAGAGTACAATATACAGTTGTATCGTTTATTTTCTACGAAAATAATTCTTTTGTTAATCTTGCGCTCTTAATTCCAATTAACTCCAGGTTAGAATATTGTGCAGCGAGAGATCTGTGGCGCAGATTACGATCGCTCGGTTATCCTAATCTCGGTGAACCTTCGAAATCTTTGTGGTAGTTTTTTTGTTATCAGCCTCGGGAGCCGCTTATCTCGATTGTCAATTCGTTCAGGCCCACCTCACGATTTCGAGGAGTGATCGGTCGATAATATCGAACAAAGTAATCTCGAGTGTCTTCCTCGCGATCCATGATCCAAGTCGTATTCCATAGCCGGCGACTAACCTCGAGAAATTATTAAAAAAAAAATTTTCAAGAAATTTCTAAAAATCGAAAAACTCTTTCGTACATTTTTTTTTTTTTAATTATCGTCCGTCCAGGATTAATTATTATACATTTTCCTGAGAAATTGGATTGGAAATAATGTTTGTAAGTTTAAATGATACAGTTTGATGAAATTACTGTAATGTAAACATTCAGTGAGAAAATGTACTCGTTGATTACATGATTTAATTAATGGTTCGCCGAATGATTAATCGATACCTAAAGCAGCTTGCAAAGTTGCAACAGTGATGTAATATTACTGACGAATGCGATTTAGGAGAGAAGTCCAAGATTACAAGAATTTACGGCGTGAAAAAAATTAATCGAATATTCGGAGTCGATTCTGTATTTTAATCTTATCGGTCGGGCTTTTTGAATGTATCTTATCGGATCTTGTTTTTCGAGTATTTTATTTGCCCTGGATATATAATTTTGGGAGTACTGTATCCGCCTCTGGCAAAGCTAGAAATTTAGAATAATGATTTTTACGATCGTACGTATTTTTCTTTATTTTAGGAAATTCAAATCTTTAGCGACATTTAAATTTATTCATTTAATTTTTATTATTTATTTGTTATCGAGACGCTCGGAATCTTCTTCGTTTATTATTTTCTGTAATTTATGGTTTCACGATACGACTTTATAGTAAGAATTGATAGCAAAGAATGAATTATTATTTTAAATTGTTTGAAGTAAATATACAAGCAGATTTGTTATTCATTAATATCACATTAGAAATCCGCATGCTCTAGAGTACGCAACATCCAGACAACCACTCTGCTCTAGAAATCCATCAATTAAAGTCTTGTCTTAGTCGTGAGTACTTGTTTTAAAAGTTTAATAATTGGTAAATTTATATATGTCTGTAGAAGCTTCTAAAGTTGAAAGCATTCAGGGAAAAAGAAAACTGTGCTCCAATGATCTGCTCTATCCAGACTCCGAGACAACTCTACTCTAGAAACTC